CCCGGCGACCCGGCCAGGGGCGCCGATTTCGATCGCGTGTACAGCGGGGTGGTGAGCCTCAGCACCGAGAGCATCTACTCCTTCAACTACACCAGCCAGCCCGGCCAGGTAAGACCCGCTACCTCCTCGCCCGCGCCTCCTAGAACTTGCCAGATTTCAGAGCCCCAGCCCCAGTTTTGGGTCCCCCTGAGAATTGACCTCTGGAGACGGCCGGGACTAGGAGATCCTTGTTCTTTTTCTCCTGCGAAGCAATCACTGCTCTGCCCACACTCCTGCACCAGCCTCGGGGACAGCTCAGCTTCACCTCGCTCCCATCCCGGCCTGGTCGCTGGCATTTCTGGGCTGTCCAGCGGCAGAGATCCCTGCACCTTCCACAGGTCCGGGTTCTCCGCTGCTTTCTCTAGGAAAGTCAAGATTTCCAGGTTTGCCGGAGGGTGGGACCGGTCCGAACCTCTGTTCCTCAATACCCTGGGCGAAAGGGATCCCATTACGTTCAGACAATGTGAGACCCACCTACTTCATAGCGCGCTGAGAGGGAAAGCTACTCAGAATCTAAAATGGAAATCAATCATGTGAGAAGGGACGGAAGCTGCAGAACCTCTGTGCGTTAGATAGTCACTTCCTGCCTTTCTGTACCATTGTCACATGTGAGTGCATAGGCGAAGCTGGAAGACCGGTCAGAGACACCGAATCTGCAGCCCTCTGCTAAGGTATCCGGGTTTTGATGTCAAATAAGGGTGAATAATTATGTGAAACTTCTAGACCTATTTCTTACAAGTTAAAGCTGAAAAAAGGATTACTCCAGAAACTGTGACTTTGACATATATATACTCAGATTACATAACACAGGAAAATGCACATGGCTCTCTTTTCCCCTCCAATATATTACCCTGGGGAGAGGGGTTCTCCAGTGTAACAACTTCTGGCCAATCTCCGGATCATCTGAATGTGCCAATTCTCTAATCTCTTAGGAAAGTCCCCAAGCAGATGTTTGGGATACCATCTTATGCTTTCCCCTTCAATTCTCAAAAACCTTGCTTCAAATCGAGAAAGGGACTTGCACTGAACCAGAGGGCCCAGGGTGCCTATCACTCCTTCCAGACTTCTTCCAGCTGTGTGTCCTGAATTACCCATCTGCAGCCAGGCACCAAGTCCTTTGATGCTGTCACCATGGTAACACAGCCGTCATCCTGCCCCGTCCTTCTGTACCCTTTAAGCTGTGTGTCCCCTGGTGAACAGGGAGGCTGCGTACAGAACCTCTCCACCGTAGACAGTGTGAAGGGATGTTTTTGATATCCCCAACTTCACATAACTGACTTCTTCCTGTCTCGTGTAGGGTTGCCACAGGGTGGGCACATGAACTGTGCTCCTAGCCCTGATTCTCTGGAAACAGATACATGCCTGTAAATGTCATGTTCTGTAGTCTGTGGTATCAACTTCACCCTAAACTGCTGCCAAGGAAACTCAGATTACACGTGCAAAGTAGATCCTGGCATCAGGCTTTGATATTTCTTGCAGTTCTACTTAGGGATACACTGGTTGCTTTTTAAATGTTGCTTTTTTGCCTTTTCCTCCTTAGTATTGTGTGATTTGCTGACTACAGCACAAATCTCTATTGACAGTTGAGGTCACCTGTTTGACTTTCCTAGTAAACCTTAACTAATGGGGTGCAAATCATGCTCATCTCTGTACCCTGGGACCTAGTGCTATGCTTGGCACAAAAGAGTTTTATAAATGTTTTATGCCAAAATAGGTAATGTAATGAGGGGTTAAACAATTCTTAAACTAGAGTTAGATAAAATCAAATGTATATTGTGTACTAGGTTGGAAGGTGTGAATCCATCACCAGATAAAAACAAGACTGAATTTTGTTCTTCATAAAATAAAAATGTTCAAAATTATTGTTATATCCTTTTTATTTTGCCTATCTCTGTGGTAAATGGCTTTATCTTGTAAAATAATGATGAATAGTTTTCAAAATACTTTTGCACAACAAAAAATTGTCCTTAGATTTTACATTAAAATGTTTCCAAGAAAAGCTTAAAAAAAATGCAAAGTTGAAAGCCTTGGGGCCAGTATAATGAGTATTTCAATTATTTTGACATCAGTATGCACCAAGATAAACCTTACAACTTCCTGAGACAGACTCTTGAATTTAAATAAGGGAGTGAAACCTTCAACCCAATGACTACTATCCTCTCTCCCACCCTATTTCTGTTGATTTCTCAAGAGAGGACATTTTCCTTATCTGTCTGTCCAAACCTTTTCTCTTAGTTACTACTAATGGCCTCCTCTCCTCTTGCTCTATTTTGTCCCATGTTTGGTACCAGCTGTCCTTCTTTTCATTGTATGAATATGTGGGAAGTAGCAGAATTTTACTGAAGGTTTGAGTAACACAAGGGAATTAAAAAACAGCACAGGATAAGTGATACATTAAAGGAGAAATCTAGCCACACTTGTCTTCACAGGGGATATTTCAAGGTAATGACTCTTTCTCTCAGGTTCTTCATCTTTTTGGCCATCCCTGTACTCTTTGAACACCACACTCTAAATTTTTGTTACACTCCCTTGTGGAACAATTTCTGCCTCCATCGCCAACTCCAGACTCATAAAGAGGCTCTGCTAAATAAAGATCTGTGGTCTCCAGAGCAGAAGCTCAAATATGTTGCTTTTCCTCTAATCTTTTAGCAGGAAAGTCTTCCTCCACTGGAGGTCATTGCCCATCACCCTCTTTAGTCAACAAAAGTTATGGTTTAGGAAAAAAAAGTCTTGTTTTTTTTAGCTTTAATCTTTTTTTCCCCCTTCTCTTCAATCTGGTGTGGTCTGCCATCATTTTTCCTTTGCCTTGAAGAACAGTCTATTCTAAATATAGTCTTTGCTGAAAAGAAGAAGAAGTTATGGCAGCCCTTGTACCTAATCTTTCCCATCAGCTACTGTATCTCCTATAACAAGTGCTATCCCAGAAAATGATTTCCCCAAGCATGTGTCATGCTGTTAGATGGATTCAGCACCAAGAAAAGTCTCATGTGCCTTGCAGGCACAGAGAAATGTAAATATGAAGCTGTCATTTTTTAAAAAATGGAGTGACTAGTTTAAAAAATAATAAAAATAATAATTAAAGGTGCAGGTTAGGCAAGATCAGGTTCATTTGCTTTCGCTGGAGAGGAAGTTTCTAGAAATTCTTTTAAAAAGGAATAGGGTTACACTGCAAACAGGATGTTCTGTAACCACAAGGCTCAGCCAAACTAGAAGGAAATCACCTGGTTAGGAAAGTCATAAGGGATATTTGACTTGAAGAGGGGACACAGATACATTATTGGAAAATGAAAATATTCTTACAAAGATAGAGACAACACTCAGATGTTTCTGTCTGAACCAGAAGGTGTTAAGAACCCTTAAATAAAGATCTAACCACTCTGCAATAGGCTGTCTTCTCTGAGGCTTTCAGTAACAGCATTCAATGTTTGTAATAGAATTTGAAACATTTCCTTAGAAATATCTCTTTTACCTTTTTAAACTGAGGTATTTATCTTTCAGTGACATGTATTATGCTTTTCTATACCCAAGGAACATTCAATGGCTATATTAATATCAATCAGTAGTTATATATCTAGAGTGAGTTATACATAATCTCTTGAATCCAGACTTGAAAAGCCCACCCAGCCCCCATGAATAATGAAATACATATGGGGACACTTTGTGGTAACTTCTAACTATACACAGAGAGCCCTCCATATCTGTTAGTCCCATATCCATGGACTCAACCAATTTAAAATTGAAAAAATTCAAGGAACTTTGTCTTTAATAAACATGTACAAATTTTTTCTTGACATTATTCCCTAAACAATATGGTATAATAACTACATAAATGGCATTTTATGGCAGTCAGTATTATAAGTAATCTAGAAATGATTTTAGTAATATCCTAAGGAGGATCAGCATAAATTATAGGCAAAAACTATGCCATTTAATAAGGGACTTGACTGTTCACAGAATTTGAATAAAGAGTTCTAAAGCAAATCACTCACAGCACTAAGGGACAACTGTATGTTACATTACTAGTTACATACAAGAGTTAAAAACGTAGATGTGTTAGCTTCAATTCTTCCACCTGGTGCAGGGAAACCTTGCTATTTATGTGCAGTATCCAAGAAGCCACCTTTGCTACCCTCCCACATCCTCCTACTGAACAGGACTACTGCTTGTTGGAGAAAAGAATCATTTCATTAGCACATTATCTGGATGATTGGTCCTGCAATAAAAAAATACCATTGTCAGATCCAGTGTCTAGGGAGGGCCTGCTTCCTAAATTATAGACAGTCACTTTCCTGCCGTGCCCACAAAAGGCAGAGTGTAAAGAGAAGCAAGATTTCCCAAGTCTCCCTTATAAGAGCTTTTGACCAGTTTCTGTTTCTTTGGCGGAGCTCCAGTCTTCACCTTGACCTTGGATGTCATATCTTGGCTTTCAATGCAGACTCTTCAGCATCCATCACATTTCAAGGCAGAATATGGGACTTTTGGGAAGATAGTGGAGGGGTGAACAGCAGAGAAATAGCCTCTCCAAAATTTGGTATTAAGACACTGGAATATAGCAATGTGAGGAAGAGAAGGAGGGAAGTGGGTCCCCAGGACCCAGCAAGGATCTGAAGCAAGAAAGCAATTTATAAGCATCAATTTACAAGCATCAACCCAGGAATTAAACTTGAAAGAAAAAGAACATGAGAAGGTACAGAAGCAAGATGTAACCTCAGACTTCTAGCTCACCGAAGGTGAACTCAGGGGGCACTGAGGTGAAATAATTAGAAAGACACCCACTTGAACTCTCTGAAGTAATAACAGCAGAAGTAGCAAAGTAGATGAATGAGGCTGTAGAAAAAATTAAATTAGAAATCATTTCTCAGATAACTTAAGACATGGTGACCATAATGAAAGACATGCTGAGGGAGTCTAGAGAAAATACAGATTTTTTTAAAAAGGGGAGCTTAGGAAAATGATGGAAATCATGAATGCTCAATATAGGAAAGAAATGGAATCCATGAAATGGATCCAAACAGATATCCAGTGATTAAAAATTCCATCAAAAGTGTATGCAGCAGAACCAGCCAATG